TCCACGTAGAATAAGTGAATATTCACACATGAAATAAGTGAATTATATTCAGTTATTCAATAAGTACATACTCACTTATTAATAAGTGAATATTCAAATATGAAATAAGTGAATACTCACATATTAAGAAGTGAATTATATTAACTTATTGAATAAGTTAAAATATATTTTTTATTTAAATGAAAATAAATAATCAGGATCAATGTTTAAAAAAAAATATTTATTTACTATCACAACTTGTTTTACACTCTTTTCTCTTCTCATTATTAATCTGAAAGTTATAAACATATCAATTTTTCAACTTTTTTAAGCTGAATCCCCAAACGGTCACCCATCCTAATATTAACCGCACGTAACGTCGCTTAACTTTGATGATCTAACGAGAACTACCACAATGCCACTTAATATGTCGCCTTATATTCATAGAAAATTATTGGGTGCTACTTATAAAGAGTTAGCTTATTGTCTTGTACTTTAACGTTTTGTTCAAGATTTCTCTTATTATATATATAATAATAAGTAAATAAAAAGTTGGTTATTATATTATATTATATTATATTATATTATATTATATTATATTATATTATATTATATTATATTATATTATATTATATTATATTATATTATATTATATTATATATTATTTATAAATTTATTATTTTTATATTATATTATATTTTATTATATATAATATTTAATTGAATATTTTCTAAAAATTTTATTAACATTTTAAAGCCAATTTATATAATTAAATAAAATAAAAAGTTTTTAATGTATTAACTGAAATTATAAAAACATTGTTCCTAAATATTTAAAAGTATAAATAATTGAAATAATAAGTCACGTTATTAGCGCAGGTGGATTTCTTTTTAACTAAATATTTCACTTATAGATAAGTGGATTTCACTTATTGATAAGTGAAGACAAGTTCACACATATAAAAGTGAATATTTCACTTATGTATAAGTAGATTCTACTTATTAATAAGTGAAAAAAAGGTTCACACATGAAAAAAGTGAAAATTTCACTTATTCAGATTTAGAGAGATTATTATTGCACCTGTTTATTAACTTTCAAAGTTTAATTTTATACCTAAATATTCTTTTTTTTAAGTACGAGATCAAGCATTTTTAAAATGATTCTAGAAAGTTATTTAAATTTCTTTACAAGTTTAATTGATGAAAAAGTAGATAATGTTAGTGACTTAGACGGGAAAGTTGTTAATTTATTACTTGCATTTCTTAATTACAAAAAAGAAAAATTATTTTATATCATTAAAAAGTAGTATTTTACACAATTTTTAAAAACTTACCTCCTTATTCTTATTTTTAATCACAAAAATTTTTTTCGTCTTTTTTTATTTTCAAAAGAGAAAAAAAGTGTTCTTCACATTGCACTTTTATTTTTCTGTATTATATACTGCAAAAATCTGTTAATAAACTATAACTACACTGTAAAAAAAGAGAGTTAAATTTTAACTCCCCAGGGGATTCTATAAAAGTCGCACCCATTGGGGATTTAATGCCAGGGGAGTTAAATAAAGAGAGTTAAAACTTCACACCCAAATGCTAACTCCCCAATGAGAAAATAACTCGCGCGGGTGTTGAATGAAGAGAGTTAGAAATTAACTCTATTTTGGAGTTGATTTTTAACTCGAAAAATTTCACTCTAAACTCCCGAGTCCGTTAACTCCCTAAAGTTTTTACAGTGTATATATACTCAAGTATAAAATAGACTACCAATGCAACTCTCTCTCTCTCTCTCTCTCTCTCTCTCTCTCTCTCTCTCTCTCTCTCTCTCTCTCTCTCTCTGCTCACTGGTCACTCAATAGACTGCCTACTGGTTGAAAGAAACCCTTCAAACAATAGGCCAGGTACTCGAGCAGACCTTTCGTTTCTCTTTAAATTTTATATATATATATATATATATATATTTCAAATATCTTTCTGTCTCCTTCTTTCTAAATAAATAACATAAATCGGTCCCTGTTTATAACGCAGAAAATCTAACGCTATTGCTTTCTTCCTCTTTCCAAATAGAAATAACATAAATCGGTCTCTGTTTATAACGCAGAAAAACTAACGCTATTGCTTTCTTTCTCTTTCGAGGATAAGCAACATTAGACTGTCTCTCTTTACCTAATTTGCATATCTACTCGTTTCATATTAAGGATTAATATTAATTTTATTAATATGGGCTTAATTTCTTTTCAGGTTCAAGAATTAATGGCCATGATTCCTGATGTTACGGATGATAATAATCTAATGAATGTATCACCATCGTGGTCCCGTGAATCATCCACATCATCTAAAATTGATTCAGATGATTCAGATGATTCAGATGATGACGATTTTTTCCCGGACATATCACACAGTGAAAACAGATAAGAAAAATACACTAAGAAAAAATTGTGAACTGGAAAATCATTGGACCTAAAAACCTGGTTTAAATACATTGATATATATATATATGTCTTTTGTATGAAGTAAATAATTTATTTAATCAATTTTGAAACATTTATACTAAGTGTACTTTCAGCTCTTTTTCAGGATTTTTTTTATTTTTAACTTTCAGGAGTATTTTCAGCCCTTTTTCAGGACTTTCTGTAATTTTTTAATTTTCAGGAGTATTTTTTTTTATTTTTAACTTTCAGGAGTATTTTCAGCCCTTTTTCAGGACTTTCTGTAATTTTTTAATTTTCAGGAGTATTTTTTTTGCTTTTCTATAGGACTTTCTGTATTTTTTTTAACTTTCAGGAGTATTTTTTTTTTGCTTTTATATAGGACATTCTGTATTTTTTTTTAACTTTCAGGAGTATTTTTTTTTGCTTTTCTATAGGACTTTCTGTATTTTTTTTTTCAAACTTTCTGTTTTTCTTTCTTATTTTTTAAAATTATTTTCAGGATTTCTGTTTGTAGGTTATTTTTCCAACTTTCTGTTTTTCTTTCTTATTTTTTAAAATTATTTTCAGGATTTCTGTTTGTAGGTTATTTTTCAAACTTTCTTTCATTCTTTCTTATTTTTTCAAGTATTTTCAGGATTTCAGTTTGTAGGTTATTTTTCAAACTTTCTTTTTTTTCTTTCTTATTTTTTTTCCAAGCATTTTCAGGTCTTCAGTTTGAAGGTTTTTTTTCAAACTTTCTGTTTTTGATTCTTAATTTTTAAAATTATTTTCAGGATTTCAGTTTGTAGGTTATTTTTCAAACTTTCCGTTTTTGATTCTTATTTTTTCCAAGTATTTCAGGATTTCAGTTTGTAGGTTATTTTTCAAACTTTCTGTTTTTTCTTTCTTATTTTTTTCAAGCATTTTCAGGTTTCAGTTTGAAGGTTTTTTTTCAAACTTTCTGTTTTTCTTTCTTTCTTATTTTTTAAAATTATTTTCAGGATTTCAGTTCGTAGGTTATTTTTCAAACTTCCTTTTTTCTTTCTTATTTTTTTTCAAGCATTTTCAGGTTTTCAGTTTGTAGGTTATTTTTCAAACTTTCTTTCATTCTTTCTTATTTTTTCAAGTATTTTCAGATTACATTACAGATTACATTACAGATTTTATTTTCATTTTTTTTCTTATTTTTTTACAGGTTCCCTTATAGATTTTATTTTTACAGGTTTCCTTACAGGTTCCCTTACAGATTTTATTTTCATTTTTTTTTCTTATTTTTACAGGTTCCCTTAAAGACTTTATTTTCATGTTTTTTTTTATTTTCAGATTTTTTACAGGTTCCCTTACAGACTTTATTTTCAGGTTTTTTACAGGTTCCCTTACAGACTTTATTTTCATGTTTTTTTTTATTTTTAGATTTTTTACAGGTTCCCTTACAGACTTTATTTTCATTTTTTTTTTAATTTCAAAGATTTTTTTTCAGGTGTTTTTCCAGATATTATTGTAGAATTAAATTATATTATAAATAATCTTTTTTAATGTGTATTTTCTCTGTATTTTCTGTTTTAGATTTGTCTACGTAAACCACAAGAAAAAAAAATGGATTTAGAAAAAGTTAATGCTGTTGGACGCATGGAAGCTACCCTTCCAACAAAGCCTCTTTCCGAATTGGTTCCAAAGGGTCGCTACATGATCAACAAACTTACAAAAGTGCAGACACGATTTGGATCCAGGATTATGACAGAAGTGGATAACGAGTTTATCACTTTTTTACCTGCAAGATTCGTGAAACTGTTTGATGAAGAGCCAAATACCCTGGAGATGATGCAAGAAGCTGCCTGTTCAAACAAGTTGTACATGAAGTACTTGATTGGAACGTACAACGCTTTGGAATTTAAATTTCATTAAAATTATGGTGGATTTTTTTAAAATATTGATGTTTATAAAATATAAAATTTTCACATTAATAATAAAAATATATATTTATCTATAAATTGGTTTTAATATTATTTTCTTCCCTATTCATGTTAATTTTCAGGAATTAGTTTTAAGTTTTATTTTCAGAAATAGTAAAAATTTAAAAAAAAACTAAAGGAAAAGGTTTTTAAAATAATGAGAGAGAGACAGTTGTATTATTATTTTAAATTGTTCATGTTTATTTTTAAAATATTCAATTCTTGTTTTACAAAAAAGTTTCACAATTTTCATAGAATGATTGTAAAGTAGTAAATGTAGAATTAACTTCATCAATTCCTTTGACAGCAGCACTTATATAGCGGTTTGAAGGCTCTAGGAACCATTCTTGAAGAATTTTTACATTTTTCGCAGCACAATTTTCACAGTGAATTGTATGATGTTTACAAATGGTTGACAATTTAGTGTCAAGTTTTTTCAAAGATGGACAGTTAAAATCTTCTAAATTTTCTACATTCAACAAATATTTCTCCAACCAAGTCTTTTTTTCTAAACCTTTAACATAGATAGCACTAGCACCACGTAGTATTCCTTGTAGAAGTGAAGGAAGTTCATCATATGGAACATCTCCAGCTGGCCAATCAATTCCATGGTAATTATGCGTTAACCAACGATTTTCACTTTTGTAGCGTCCAGGCAATATATTTCAAGCACAAGGAGGTTCAAACAGGAAGACGAGTGGTTGAGCATCTAACTGTAGAGGAAGTATCGCCAACTCTTTGAAAACAAATTCGTTATTGGGTTTTTTAAAACCTTGTACATCTACAATGAACTCCATTATGAAATAAAACTGAAATTCTGACTGAAAGCAGCTGTTTTTATACCCAATCACCCCCTTACATTATCCCCACTACAGCAGTTTCTTGACAACGCCGCTGATTGGTTTATATTGTATGACGCGGTCATGTATGATTAAGCAGTAGGCAGTGGTTTCAGCCGGCATGTTGATTCCTGCTTCAAATTCTAAACGTACATCAACTGATGCTTGTTTTAGAAACTCATTTTGCTTAGAACAATCAATAACAATTAGAGGAAACAGACTTTTAAAAATATCCTTTGTTAAAATAGGTTTTGAATCTTTACCATAATAGGATGATTGAAAATTAGCGTACATTTCATAAAGTAGAGAGTACTGATTTTGATCAAAATTTAGATTTAAATTTCCATATGGATAATATTGTGAATTTAAAAAGAGTTTAACGTTTGTTATATTACAATGATCAAAATGACAAGCATAGTTTTTACGTTTATCTTTTCTCGCTGTTTGAAATCCAACAATAACATAGCGTGGTTTCTCTAATTGCGTTGATGTTTTAATTTGCCACAAAACTTTTGAATTCGTAGGAATTAGAGGATATTCATATAGAGGATATTTCCCAAGATCTAAAACTTATTGAAATTAATGGATCCTTTTCAATAAATTTTAATAGTTCTATTTTATTATTATCTGCAGGTAGAACGTATGGAACCATCCATTCAAGTTTATTGATGAAAATTTTAAATTCTTCATCACCTCCTTGTCCTGTTTGAATTACGGCATTCACGTCAGAACGTGCTCTGGTTAAAATAAGTTCATGTTTAGCGTTCATAACGATTTTTTTATAATCTTCGGCAAAACCAAAAATCATGCTGAGTGGTATTGTGACATCAAAATAGCCATTTTCCAATACAAGTCTTGCATCAGCTGCCATTCTTGAATACCCAGCATTTTCAATAAAATTTAACTGTGTAGGAGTTTGCGAGACATACTTTTTCATAATTGTAGTATGTCCAACGTTTTTGCATCGATCTATTTCAATTCCATTTAGTTCATAGCGAATTTCATCAAACAAAAAACATACAGCATTATTACTTAAATGCACGTTTTCCGTAAGAGTATTTTCATCATTTTTAGCTAATCTGCCAAAAATATGTAATGAACTTTTACTAGGTAAAATGCACAAGTCTTGATGTTGTACTGCGATTCGAATTTCATCACTATTGTTAAAAGATGAAGAAGCATACGGTTTATGAGCATGAATTTCATAATGAGCTATAGACTCATCAAAATTCACTGCTGCTGGAATATTGAGAAGTTCGTCCATTTTTGTTTCAACAGCACCCACAAAATATGTAGATTAATTGTCTTGTTTTCGTTTTTTCTTTCCTTGAACTTTCAGGCCTAGTTCTTGAAGAAAGAGACGATTCTGTGGTGTTAACACCTTGTAAGATGACTTTAGACTGATTTGACTCTTGCATGTTGGCTGACTTTTATAGTTTCCACCAACAACAGCTCTTTGATTATAAACAATTCCCATTACAAAGACTTTATATGCAATCGAATAGTTATAGTTTCTCCTCTGAAATTTATTAAATCACCATCCTGGTCGACAATTCCCAGCTGTATATTATGTATTGTCTTGGTGGAAATCGGAAGATAAATGACGTGTGCAGGCACTTCCACAATCTTATATCCTGGTGGGACGCTTGGAAAAAATTCATGGATAGTGTGGACTTTTTGATTATTTATGTATGCTCCAGATGTTATATTGCACTCAATTCTAACTGAATTGACCTTTAGAATAGCTACAGGTAAATCAGAAGTATGTGCTCTATGAGGTGCTAGATGCTGCGATGTAAATCCCAACAATTTACCAATCGAGTCAATAGGTTTAAAATCAATTGGCAAATTTGATTTAACTACACTGCGCAATGTATTATTATTCGGTTTTATACTAATAACAGTTCTGATTTCTACAGAATTTTGTATATAAGATTCAATGTCTTTAATTTCATAACTTCCAGTTGCAATATGAATTATTTGATTTCCAATGTAAAACTTATTATTTCCTTTATCGATATTAGGAATTGAATTAAAAGTCAACAATTCAACAAGACCAAGTACATAACTTTTATTTGAATTTAGTTCTATTGGAGGGAAATATTCAGCTGCAAGAACTGAAGAATTTTCCGTTAACGTTAAAGTAAATGAATCACTCATCTTGCTATCAGATTTTATACTGAAAGCTTACAATAGTTACACACTTTTATATAGGTTAAAGCTACTCTTAATATTTAGTTGATTACATAAAAATTTAAGACACAAGTGCCCACAAACAAATGTATCATAATTTTGAAATCTTTCATGATTATATTTTATTAAGCTACCATCACCTAGATAAATGACAAGATCTGTTAAAGGAGCAAGGTTACCAAAACTATAAAAATACATTGTTTTATTTCTAAATTTTTTATATGCTACCCAATGTGTTCCAGCACCTTCTTTATTATCAAGATTAATTATTCCTGATTCATATTGACGAGGACCACTAATAGGTAGTTCATTTCGCATAAAAACACCGCGAAAATAAGGTTTTTTTTATAGTTTTGGCATACTTCAACAAATCAAAATCAGTTAATGGACGATGAGGTAGCTTCAGAACAAGTTTTTTTTCCTTCTTGTTATTCTCTTCTTCCTTGATGCTCGTTTTTTCTTTCTTGGTGCTCGTTTCTTTCGTTTTCCAATTCCTTTTCCTTGAGTGTAAGGTTTAAGATGGAGACCAAGTCCTTGCCGATAAGGTTTAAGGTGTAATCCTTTTCCAAGCGATATAGCTTCCATTGTTTTATTGTGACGTTGAGCTTCTGAAAGCTGTTCACTGGCTGTTTTAGCCTTATTAACAGCCCTTGCAATTCCTGAAGCTCCTCCAGCAAGAGCTCCTAAAGCACTAAGTCCAGCAAAAATTGGAACAAGCGGTAGAATTCCACCTACTTTAGTAGGTACAGGAAGAATTCGAGGTGATAAAATTTTAGATTTACCACCAACACTTTTTATTGCTTTTCGTGCACCAATCATAGCTGCTCGAATTGATTCTTCAGCATTATTACTAGGAACCATACTTTTTCGCGCAGCATCGACAATTTTCCTTAGTGCTGTTCTTTTCTTTTTACATATTGTTCTTCTTTTTTTCTTTCTTATGGATGATTTTCTCCTTCTTTTCATCCCCATACCTAATTTAGATTTAGTTTTCATGGTTCCGGAAATAGCTAAAGCAGCTGCTCGTTCACTCACACTAGAATTTTTAGCTGTAACACGTTCCCACGCTTTCTTAGCTAATATTTTATCTGCTTCGTTTCTAGCTTGAATATTTTCTCGATTTTGCGAATATGCAATGTCGTGTTGCTTACAAGCAGCGTCTAATGGATTAATTCCTTGATCACCTCGAGATAAACGCTTTGCTAACTTTGTACCAGGCCCACAGAATTGGTATCCTGGCAAATGTAACTCGAACGGTAAACTATTGATTATACGATTTATTAAACCTTTTCCTTGATAGCGTTCTTTTTTCACCTCTTTATGCAGAATCATACTTCACTCTACAATGGTTGTCGTGAAACTGACAAAATTACTATATAAGCTAGGTATTTATACATTTTAGGGTAGTTACTGTCAAGATGCAGTTCACGAAACAACCTGTCATGCTGCCAATAACTAGTATAGATATAGAAACAAACGAAAAAAAGATTAAACGTCATGGTAGTCTGTTTTCAGACAGCATTCGAGCTGTTTTCTGTGGTCCCTCAAATTGTGGTAAAACAAATGCTCTTCTTTCCCTAATAATACATCCAAATGGTCTGAGTTTTGAAAATATTTATCTCTACTCTAAATCTCTACATCAACCGAAATATAAATTTTTGGAAAATGTCATCGGTAACGTGAATGGTGTTGAGTACTTTCCATTTAGTGAACATGAAGAAGTAGTATCTCCAAAAGACGCTAAACCAAATTCAATATTCATTTTTGATGACATTGCTTGCGAAAAACAAGATAATGTTAGAGCTTTCTTTTGTATGGGTAGACATGTAAACGTTGACAGTTTCTACTTGTGTCAAACGTACGCTCGTATTCCAAAACATCTAGTTCGAGATAATGTAAATTTATTGGTTTTATTTAGACAAGATGAAAAGAATCTGAAACATGTTTATGAAGAGCATGTTAATACTGATATGAGTTATACTCAATTCCGCGATTTATGTTCAGAATGTTGGAAATCGGACAAATATGGATTTGTTGTTATTGATAAGGACCGTAATTTTAATGAGGGAAGATATAGAAGAGGTTTTGATTGCTTCATTACACTATAAATATAAGAACTTTATTGAATTTTTAATTAGTATAGTTTATATTGTCACTAAGAAAACATGTATAGAAAAGAGCAAGAAACACTTCGTCAAATAGCAAAAGCAAGTGATGCTATTAGGCGAAAACATCGTTTACTCAAAATGGGTAAAGAGGCTGCAGAAACAGTTTTAAAAGAAACTCTTCAACCTATAGTAACACCTCTTGAAAAGTTGGTTAAAGTAACTGACATACCTTTCAAAAATGTTAAGAAAGAAAAAGTAAAAAAAGAGGAAAATGATTTTTCTTTCTCTACTGCAGTTGATGAGGAGGAGGAATTTGATAAAACACTACTCAATGACACTCTATTTGATAAGAGTACTAATTTTGAAAAAGCATCAGATGAAGATCTTAATTATGAAAATTTGACAAATAAATTTATTACATTATTGAATAAAAACAGAAAAACTTTTTTAGACATGGTTTATGGAGTACGTAAGCTGCCTAATGGTACTTTTATGATTGGAGATACACCAGTTGATTTAGAAGGTCCTCATATTCGACTTGCTGGAAAGAAAAAATATTTAAAAACTACTGGGTTGATTGAACTCTTTTTTAAACAAAGAGCTAAACAAGAATTAATAAGTTCAGATGATTTAGAAAATTATAAAGAAATTCTTGTAGCTACAAATGCACATCGAAAGAATTATAGTTCCAGTGAACCTATCAACATAAATAAGAATTCTAAATACATTGATATCATTGCAAAACTTTTTAAGAGTACACCAAAAAAGGGTAGAGGTATTTTTAAAGGGAAGAAGAAGATGCTTGGAAATAAATTACTTCAATTTATGATTACAAAGAAACAATTTAACCCAGACTACATTTATTGGGATGATCCTAATGAACTAGTTGACCGATTACGTCTGCTAGTAGCATCGCAGCAGGCTGGAAATCCGAGCCACAATAATGAAATTATGTCAATTATTGAAGAACTACGTGAAGCTCACATTATATATTAGAAGAGTTCAAGCAAATAAAGCTTAGTATTAAAATGAGCATTGATGTGTTTGGACATCCTTTGTCACGGCCTACTGCAAGTCGTGGACAACCTAAACCTTCTGGAATTGGTTTTAAAATTACTCCAAATGGACAATACGATATTGATAACAAAAGACTTTGTAACGTGCAAGACGCTGAAGAGCAACACGACGCAGTAAATTTAAGACAAGTAAAACAAATTGTTAAAAACGAAATAAAAACTGTCTTTGCAGTTACATCATCTTCAAGATCAGCTATTGATGACTTGAATATTCTTATACAATCTATCGAGGAAAGAATTAACGAAAAACTTAAGCAGATTGAAACTGATTTGCAACTTGAATTACCTTTTCAAAACGCTAAATACATCGCTCAATTGGATTCACGTTTAACAAACCTTGAAAATGGACAATGAAAAGTTAACTGTTGTTAAAGAGTTGCATAGACAGGCTAGAAAAAATTATCCTCGTCGAAAAGTTCAAATGCGTGGTATTGATGAAACCTGGCAAGCAGATTTGGTTGAAATGATACCTTATTCTTATTCTAATAAAGGTTTCAAATACATGCTCACAGTTATAGACATATTTTCCAAATATGCTTGGGCTGTAGCTGTAAAGAGTAAGAATGGAAAGGACATTTCTCTAGCCATGAAAACTATTCTAAAACAAGGCAGAATTCCAAAAAATTTGCACACTGATAGAGGCAAAGAATTTTACAATTCTGAATTTAAGAGTTTAATGCAAGAATTTAACATTAATCTCTATTCTACCTATAGTAATTTAAAAGCCTCAATTGTTGAAAGATTTAACCGCACTCTGAAAAATATGATGTGGCCTGAATTCAGTTTACAAGGCAATTACAAATGGATAAATCTTTTACCTACGCTCATATCAAAGTACAATAATAAAAAGCATCGTACTATTGGTATGAAACCCAAAGATGTTACCG